TAACCCAGCTCTCTCTAGACATTTTTCTTGTGGTTTGGTTTATTCTGGTTGTTACTTAAGCTTCCCCAAAGGGAAACACCAGATGAGATCAAGGCCTCCCAGTGCAAGGGACTGTGGGGGTTGCAATGGTGGGCTGGTGTTGTGGAGGTACTTATACCTGGACTTAATGGTGGGGCCACCTTTTAATTTCATCTGTAAAAGATACAACAGAAAAAGTTTAAACAGCCTGGTATAACCCTCTGTATCAGTCTGTTTTGTGCTATAATACTGAAATGCTTGAGACTTGGTTACTTTATAAAGAAAAGTGGTTACCTTAGGTTTATGGATCTGGAAGATCAAGGGCCTATATCTAGTGATAGTTTTTTTCCTGGTAGAGTCTCAGGGTGGCACAGGGTATAATGTGGAGAGAGAAAGAGAGAGAGAGAGAGAGAGAGAGAGAGAGAGAGCATGAGCATGCTTCATCATAAAATCAAGCAGGAAGTTTTAAGAATCATTGGCATGCCTTTCCTTAGTTAACAAGACTGTCGAGGACTGACTGTATCCTAGTTGATAATCCTGATTACAGGGTTTCCCTGTAGCCCCAGCTGGCCTGGAACTCACTATGTAGACCAGGCTGGCCTTGAACTCACAGAGATCCTCCTGCCTCTGCCTCCCGAGTGCTGGGACTAAAGGCATGCACCACCACGCCAAGCTGTCTTTCTCTTCTTTTAAGGTCAATTTTCAACCTTAGAGACAACTCTGATGAATTTATGTAATGGTAATTTCCTATGTGAGCTACACTGCTAAATACCACAGTCAGCTGAAGTTTCTACCTCCTTAATACCTCATAATGGCCATTTAAACTTTCAGGCATGAGTCTTTGGGTGACACATTTAACCAGACACAAATTGTAGCATCTTCCTAATAATGCTGGAAAGGTATAAATTTGGTGCCACGTTGCAAGGAGGCAATTGATAATAGTTGTCAGAATTTTAAATGTCTTCACCCTAGACTTGTAGCCCAGGACTTCATTCCACAGATATTCCTGTCTATTCAGAGTCACACATTCAATACAAGGATTGCCATCACAGCATTGCCTATGCAAAACATTTGAAAGCATGCTCAGTCTATGAAAGACTGTATGGAAGTAGTCTACAGCTATTAATAAAGTCAGACATGTCTACAAGAAGTGATTAGGAAGGATCTCCAAGATGAGTTAAGAAGATGCGCAACAGTAACTACATAAGTTTGGTGCTTCTATAAAGAAAACGACATGTGTAAAGCCTGCTATGCATAGTTCAAGAAACCTTTCCAAGAGCAGACAGATGCTCTCTGATCCTGGTATAGTTCCCTTCTACTCCCCATAAACCCACTGTAAGGTGAAAACATCCCAAATCCAATTATACTGAATCCAACTGACCTACCAAGTACCTCAGTGGAGGAGGACACTGTAGGGTACCAGTTGCTCCTCTAACAATCACATGGCTATCTAGGGAGCTGTGACTTACTGCCATTGTCCAGGTCTCAACAAAGGCTCACACTGCATATTGCTAGCTGGGGAACATCAGAACTGAAAACCGAGGTATGCTTTCTACTGAATGGGCATTGTTTGCACACTGTTGTCAAGTTATAAAATTGCAAGTCAAACCATTCTAAGCTCAGGGCTGTCTGCAATAAAGCAATAATGTTGGTGACTCTTGGAAAGACCACAAGAGAAGCTGGGACCCAACTCATTTGGCCAAGTCTCAAAATAGACATTTATCATTAATCTGTTCCCTTCTCTTTTCTCTTCTCTTCCCTTCTCTTCTCTTCTCTTCTCTTCCCTTCCCTTCCCTTCCTCTTTCTTTCTTTCTTTCTTTCTTTCTTTCTTTCTTTCTTTCTTTCTTTCTTTCTTTCTTTCTTTCTTTCTTTCTCCTCTTCCTCCCTCTCTCTTTTTCACTTTCCATACCTCATCTAGTCACAGAGGAGACTGGTGATTTTTCCTCTTATTCGGAGTCACATACTTTGCTCCCTTCCCACTCTGGCCACCCCATCTTAGGACACAAGTCTTCTGCAAACCAGTGAAACATCCATATCACCACTGCACGCCCCTTCTACTCTTAGCCTCTTCCAATCCGTTCTCCATCCAACAGGCAGTGACATCAGTGTGTGTGTGTGTGTGTGTGTGTGTGTGTGTGTGTGTGTGTTGTGTGGTGTATGTTCTTGTTAGTGTGTGTACATGTACGAACGTGCTGAGACCCAAGGTCAATGTCAGGTGTTTTTCCTCAATCACTTTCCACCTTTATTTTTTGAGACAGAGTCTTTCACTGAATCTGAAGCTTAATGATATGGCTATGTCTGTCTGAAAAGGATAGCGATCTAGTCTCTATCCTCCCCCCCTTCGCATGTGGCCCCAAAGCTGGAGTTACAGTCTCAGGCTGCTGTAACTGGAATTTTACATAGGTTTGAGGGACCCAAACCCAGTTCCTCCTGCTTGTGTGGCAGGCACATTACCAACTGACCAGCAGCCTCTTTTAGAGGTTTTCTATTGTGATCAAACTAAACTTCTGAGAGCCATGAAGGTACATGATGCCCTTATGTTGATAGATGCTCCTACTCTTCAACCTAGTCTCGATCGTACTGAGCTCTTCTTCAGTTATCCTAATCTGCTCTTCCTGCCCCTAGGATCTGCACTGGATGTTCTCATTCCCTGAAATGTTCTTCTCCCCACCTCTCCACAGCTGGCCCTTTTCTATCCTATGAGTCTCAGAGATGGCAAGGAGCAGAGTCCGCATTGCTCTGTGCACATTTCCCTCAGCCTGTCATCACCTTGTGCTTGTCCCTCAACAAGTGTCACAATTTCTAACAGTTCATTGGCTCTGGTGTGTGTTCATCATCCATCTCCTGCTGGATTTTGAGGCCCATGCAGGTGGAGCTATCATGGATCTGGGTCACTCTAAATCCCTAAATCATGGCTGGACTCTCCACAGAGCAGGTGCTGAATCCCAACCGTTCAATGCATGTGTAATGAGATTAGAAATGAGTCAACTTTAGACTTCTTAGTGTGGACGGAGGTTCAATGGTCAGTTTCTCTGAGCAGGTTGGATTCAAGAGAGGCTGAGTCTCTGCCTGTAGTGGGCTCAGTACAGGGATCAAAGCACTTGACTGATCTTCACTAGAAAATATAGCTCTGGACTGCCTCACCTTGGATTGTCATGGTTAATGCTGATCTTGAAACGGAACTTTTGGGGCATCTGTTTTCTGGCCTTGGCTTTGACTTTGACTTATCCTGTTTGATGTATGAGTTGTGAAATGGATATTCAGGGCCAACTTTTCAAGTTTCACCATGGTGGCCTGTTGCTCCCAAAGGTATCCCAGCTGTGTTACTTCTGTAAGTGCTTTCATGTTGTTATAACAAAACACCCAGTGCTGGGAAATGTCTGTGAGAAGCAGGGATTCCTGTTGGCTTATGATTCTGGCAACTAGAAAGTTCAAGCAGGCAAGCAGAATGGCATTGGTGAGGTCACGTGGTGAACAACACATGTTGGGAGGGAGGGAGACAGGGAGATGGAAAGATGGGGGTGTGGGAAGAATGAATCACATGATGAAACAAGAGACAAGATAATGAGGCAAGGAAACTGGACTCAGTTTACCACAACCTGTCTTAACGCCCTAACTACCTCTTTCAAAGGCCTTACCATCTCGAGTTGTTACTCTGGGGAACCCAGCCTCAACATGAGTTTTGGCAGGCCAAATCACATTTAAATTGTAATGCTGGGTGGTTGTCTGTGATGAGAAACTTTTGTCTTTTGAGACAGGGCTCCCACTTTGTGGTTCAGGCTGGCTTAAAAAAGCCTCTTAAGTGATCCTCCTGCCTCAGCATCCCAAGTAGCTAGGAATGCAGGTGGATGACCCTTTAGTGAGATTCTTAACCCCAGGAGACCTTAAAAACATCATTTTTGTTCTCTGTCTCTGTCTCTACCTGTCTCTCTGTCTCACTGTGCCTCTCTCTCTCTCTCTCTCTCTCTCTCTCTCTCTCTCTCTCTCTTTCTCTCTCCTCCTCTCTCCCCCTCACTCATTTCTCCCCTGCCTCGGCCTCTAGTGCTGGGATTATAGGTGTGTGCCGTGCCTGCCTTTTAGGTCTACATTTGCATAGAAGGAATTAGCATAGAATCGCCCTGAGAAAATATTGGCCTTGGTTTCCCTTAATCCCTTCAGGTTTCAGTTTTTCACCCACTCACGCTGGACTCTGGGTCACTGTCACAGGTCAGATTCCCTGGGAAGCTAGTCAGGGTCTCTGGATATGCATGCAGGAAGTATTTTGGAGTGAGGAAGCCAGAGCTGGCTTGGCGGAGATGTGTCGTTCTGATCAGAAGTACTCAACTGGTCTCACCCTGATCCTGAATGGAGGAAAGGGGCAGAGCCTCCTGACTCCATGTTGACTTGGTTTGGGGGACAGGGTGCCACTGGGAAGGGATGTCGTCTTGGCTTAGGTGTGCTCTGACAGTCAGAGAACGCTGTGTGTGCTGTATTCCAGGAGCAGGTGTCTGTACCCACTCTTGCCTAGGCTTTGCAGAGAGAATAGTACTGGGCTTGCTCTTGTTCGAAAAAGACCTTGTTCTAGTCCTGGCTGGAACTCATTGGCTGCCACCAGTTGGCTCCTGGCCAAGCTGTAGTCTACTGAGGCTGTGAAATGCTCTGTGCCTGGTAAAACTTGCCTCACTGAGGACTACACAATGGTTTGCTTGTTGAAGGGCTTAAAGTAAGAGAAAGAACTTTGAGATGCTTACTAACTACAGCAGTATGTGTCACCAGATCCCTTGATGGGGATGGCTGTATCACTGCATAGATTAAAAACAGCATGGAGCTTTGGGGGTAACAAACGTGCCACATGGGCTGTAAATAAGACAGTACAGCCTGTCATTCTTGCCAGCCACTACTACCATGACTCCAAATGTCTTATGTGTGGCTGGTCACTTTCCTCCTGTCCTTCGGCATGTTTCACACACATACAGCCTGACTCTGGCACTCTCTCCCTCCAGGTGACACAGAAGATCCCCCTGGTGGATGTGCAGGGCCACCTGGTCTCAGAAGGGATCCTGCTATTTGGCCAGCAACACTTCTACATCTGTGAGAACTTCACTCTGTCTCCCACAGGTGATGTCTACTGCACTCACCATTGCTTATCCAAGTGAGTTCTCCACATCTCCCAGTGAATCCCCCCCCAGTCCCGCCTCCTTCTAGTTCCCACTCTCCCCTCTCCCACCTCATTCTTACTGTGGTCTTACAGCCATGACACTAAACAGAACCTATTGCCATGGTTCTCCAAAGCCAGCATCTGGCCAGGGTAACAAAGTGGCAGGTCCTCGTGTCTCCCTGACAGGAAATTGCACAGCACCTAGGGACTTTCCCTCCAGTTATTTGGATAATTGACTTCAGTCACCTCAGGTTTCACATTCAACAACTGGCTGGATGCTCATCTTTTCATGAAGAGGTAACTCAAGTGTCATCAGCAGCTCAGACAGGCTTCTTTAAAAAGAGCTCAAAGTATATACATACATGATGTGGGGGCACTTACCTGCTCATCGTTGGAGAGAAAACCTGGGAATGAGGTGAAGGAGGGCTGCCTATGGAAGTGGTTAGATCTGGGACTCAAAGGATTGTTGACATTTGGATAGGAGTTTTGAGTCATTATCCAGGCATTGTGGTACATGTGTTATCCCAACACCCAGGAGGCTAAGACAGGAAGATTGCAAGTTTGAGGCCAGCGTGGGCTACAAGGTGAGACCATCTCAAGAAAACAAAGCAAAACAACTAACAAAGAAAAGGAAATTTAATCTCCCATTTTTCCACCAATTAATATTAGACACCTTTGGTAGGAAATCCCAAAATCCTTCTTTAGTGACAAGTAGTCTTCTGGGGTTCAATTAGCTCCAAATGATCAGTTCTTGGTGTTCATAAAGGACAGTCAATGAAAGTCAAATTGACAGTGTTTTGCAGTTTTTTCCAAGGTGTAGTTGTCAAGCTGCCTGTTTTCAAATGGTCCTTACTTTTATTAGATGCAGTTTTTTTTGTCTTGTGTTAGTAAAGGTTCTTAGGATAACAAGGTAACTTTGTAGCCCAGTGACTTTCAAATTGGCCCACATCAGAGTCACCTGGAGGGATCATTAGAACATAGACTTCTGGTTTCTCTGCCCCTTGCCTTGATTCTAATTCACTAGGTCAAGTAGGACCTGAGATTTTAGCTCCAACTGAAAGCCATCATTTTTGGCTATTGGCAGAGGAGTCAGTCTTGACCTGTCAATAGAAAGACTTTTAACTCCCAGTCATCATAATTTCCAGCCTGTGTGAGGAAGTCAGAGTTAAAAGAGCGTGGAAGAGTACGTGACAGTCTGCCCTGTTTAGATTCTGATTAAAATCTTTATTATGTTTGCTGTGGTTCTTTCTGCTAATTTCCATCTTTTATTCATACCAAACCCTCCCTGATTGCTACAAGTCTTCGGTGATTTTCCAAAGCAAGAGGAACATAATTAATACTTGGCACACTCATCCCATCTTCTTGCTCATATTTTATTGATACTGATCAATATAGACAATGGGCTGCGGGCTCGCCTTTTGAGTGGATTGAAGCTTTCTACTTCTACCTGCTGCACATGCCCCTGGGATGAGTTGCACAGCCCGTGGTCAGTCACACTTCACCCGGGCTTGGGTTGGGCTGGCCTCAGATAAGTTCCTATGGATGAACTGCATTGTATTTATGAAATGTATCTAATCATTATCAAATTGACTCTTTCTGCACTTGTAATAGAGGCCCAGTGGTCAGGCTGTGCATATTCACTTGATCTGCTGTGACAAGGGAGATTTCTCTTATCTGGAAATGTACTTTTCTAGAGTGTAAGTAGAGCAAGAACAAATTACTACCTTGGAGCATCACCAAGGAACCACACAGGTAATTTTAGTTACCATATTTAGTTACCATACCTCAAGGAAGTGTTTGTTAATCAGACAGTGATCTCCCGCGGGGTCTTGTCTATAGCCTGAGAAACTACCAGCACTCCTAGAGAGGCAGCTTTCCAAGACAGGCTCATAGATCCTGCCAGATCAATGAGAATTAGGCCTTATTTTGGCCATGGAGACTAAGGCAGATGCATAAATAAGCCTGTTAAAAATAAAGCTAAGTCAACCCTGAGATGTTTCTCTAAAAGCCATCCATCAAGTTGAACACAGCTTAGCATTAGACCTTGAAGAAGGCTCACTGATGCACCATAAAAATATCACCGATAAAGCCCAAGAACACTGCACACTCCTCATTGGTTGGACTTGGGCATGTTCTGCAGAAATGAAGCATCTTTTGACAAGGTTAGCTCTTAGTTATGCTGGGCTTCCTTCTTGGCTGAAAATTTAGTAGCTGTATTTGTTTCTTAGGACTGTCAAAAACTGGCTGGTTTTTAAAAAAATAATGAAATTTACCACTACACAGCTTTTAGAAGCTAGAAGCATGGAATCAGTATACCAGCAGGTGCTATCTCAGCCACTCAGGGGAAGAAGCCTTCCTTTTCTCTCAGCTTCTGATGCCTGGGCAATCCATGACTTTCTTTGGCTTGTAGCTGCATCACTCCAACTCCATGGATGTCTTCTCCCTTGTGTCTTCACATCATCTTCCCTGTGTGTCTGCCTCTGTGTCCAACCCACCCCCCACCCTTTTTAAAGAATATTTTTTGTAAATTTTATGTGTATGTGTGTATTGCCTGCATGTATATAAGTGCACCCATGTTGTGCAATGTCTGCAGAGGACAGATGAGGCCATTGGATCTTCTGGAACTGGAGTCATGGACAGTGGTTAGCTGTCACGTGGATGGTGGGATTCACACCTGGGTCTTCTGCGAGAACAGCCAGTGTTCTTAATTGCTGAGCCAGCTCTCCAACCCCCAATCTCCCCTTTTTGCAAAGACACTAGTTAGGGTTCACTCCAGTGACTTTAATGACAACTTCTATAAATATTCTATTTCCAAATAAAGTCACGTTCTGACTTAAAACATACATCTTTTGGGAGCTCATAATTCTATAAACAATGGCAGTGTACACACACACACACACACACACTTGGTGGGAACCCAAACCATCCAACTGCATTTACTTGGACTCTAGTGACCAGGTGTTAGAATAAGATGCACCTTCCTTGGCAGTGAGCCCATTTAAAGACATCATTTCTCTATTTAATTCATTATGTAAACATTTATTGAAAATACATATTGTGTACACATTGTGTAGATGCCACAGATATAAAAAGATGAGTCCACTGAAAAGTTTATGATCTCCTGCGTGAGTCCAGATGCAAGCTTCAGGTGTGATTCTGACGGTAATCATTAACTTCAAACAGGAGCAGATTGAAATGCTTTATAGTTTGAAATCCAAGCCAGTCAGCATCATGACTGCTCTTTAGCTGAGTGCAAGTTCCCTAACAGGAATATTGAAAGTTATGTCGTGGTCATGCTAGACAGTTTTGTATGTCACGATGGCTGCCAGTGATCAGAACTATGGACAACATCCTATGAACCATGACAATGGGTCTACCTGAAGAAAAGGGACCAAGCTGCCCCTTCCTTCCCATTAACCCTGGATGCCAGAGCTCTGATTTATTTTGTGTTATATATAAAGGTGGTTTCGTTGTCCAAACCACCCAGTTATACTGTGTGCAGACCTCATATTGAACTTATACAGTTTCTACGAGTAAGAGTAAAATGGCTTTTTCTCCTAAAAGTCCTTTACCATATTCCAGTGAATTTCTCTGCCCATATTTCACAGGTTGCAGAATCCATAGCACAGAGTAAAATGAAAAGAAAGCGCTTGTAGAAAGAGCTCTGTGGAAACCTGGAGAGCCTTCTGCCTCCAAGGATACTGTTGGAAGAACTTGGTGTTTAAAGTCAGAGGACCTGGGTTTGAATGCAAGTTCTATTTCCTAATGTGTCCTTGGGAAAGTCTGACCCCTGGAATACAGTGCCTAGGCTTGTACTGTAGGGTGGATAATGGCACATGCTCCAGAGGCTCAGTGAGGAGCAAATTGAAGAGTGGAGCTAAGGTACTTGGCAGATCCCTCAGCAAACATGAGCAGAGTTTAGGGGAAGATGAAGGGATAGAAACCATGAGCAAAGGCCTGCATGAGAAATTCTGACCAAATATGGAAAGGATGCTTGATATGGGTCCCATAGCACAGGCCTGTAGGGCACAAAAGAATGGTGGCTGTTATTCCCACCAGGCCTTAAATGAGATGCTATACTGGATAGCTTCAGTTGTCTACTTGATGGACCTGGGAAGAAGGAACGTCAATTGTGGAAGTTCCTCTGTCAGGCTGTCCTTTGAGGCGCCCTCTTGATTGTTGAGTGGGAGGGCCCAGCCCACTATGAGCAGTGCCACTCCTGGGCAGTTGGTCCTGGGTTGTGTAAGAAAGCAGGCTGAGCACAGGCCAGGGAAGCAAGCCAGTATGCAGCCTTTTTTGTGGCCTCTGCTTCAGTTCCTACCTCCAGCACCTGCCCTGGCTTCCCTTGATGAAGGAATGTACTATAAGATGAAATAAACCCTTTCGTCTCCAAGCTGGCTTTGGTCAATGTTTTTATCACGGTAGTAGAAGCAAACTAGGACAGATGCTGTTTGGCTCAAGCCAAGGGTGAGAAGTACAGTTATTACTATGGCCCCACTGGAAGTCAGTGGAGTTAGGAGCAGCTCAGCTTAGACTCAGCAGAGGCTTAAGGAATGCACAGTGGGCCTCAGCCAGCAGCAGCTTTGAATTAATGAATCCCAGCAGAAGCATCCAAAACCACATTTTCTCTTTGATCAGCCATACAGTGACATGGCTCAGAACAGAGATCCAGGCAGGCTCTTCTGAGAAGGGCCAGGAGGGCCCGCAAAGAGCCTGACTTTGCATCTTCCAAAACTATCTGTACAGAGGCTACACAAAGAGCCCGGACTTCATTTTGTCCTGCAGTGACCAACTGTCAACTGACCATGAAAGTCCAAACTCTTCAGATAGTGGAAGCTGGACTATCTATTGACTAGACTGACTAGAGATTTCTATCAGGCTTGTGGCAGCCTAAGTTGTCTGAGTTCCCCCAGAATGATGGCACGGAGGCTTCATGGGCTCTCCTGGGGACTGTGCAGATGGATCTGTGTCAGGGACACACATTAGGAGGAGATGAAACCTGGGGCTGGGGCTCCTCAGTACTGGCCTCTCTGGATCCATAATCAGCATGTGGCCTCTTTAAAAAATATTTATATTTATTTTTATGTGTATGACTTTTTTGCCTGCATGTATGTACATACACATGTGTACTGGAATTACAGATGGTTGTTATGTGTCATGGTACTGGGAACAAAACCAGGGTCCCCTGCAAGAGCAGCTAGTGTTCTTAACCCTAAGTCATCTCCCCATCCCTGAATATATGACTTCTTGAGCACTTTTGTGCTGTGCTGTGCTGTGCTGTGCTGTGCTGTGTGTGTGTGTGTGTGTGTGTGTGTGTGTGTGTGTGTGTGTGTGTGTGTAGTGGGGAGGGTTCATTTCTCTATCGTTAAAGAACATTTTGTCAGAATGGTTTGTGGTGGTGTATGTGGCTTAAGATGGCTATGTGGCCTAGCTGTTAAGAAACATATCTGTCCATAACTGAAATCAACTTTATTTCTTGAACCCTCACCTCTGAGGTTGCTGAAAAGCATTCCTACTTACCTCAAGGTGCCCTGGTTACTCAAGTGCACAGAATGTTCTCTTTGAGAACAAGTGTTTGGAGAGATCCAAGATCTGCCCAGCTCCTCTTCCTGCCAAGGAAACAGGCTCATTCTGGATCTTTCTAGGAACAGCCTCCTGAGATCCCCATGTGGCCCATCCCTGGGTCCTACAGGCCACCTCTTCATGCTGCAGGGTAGGCAGGAGGTGAGGCTCAGGTCACAAGAGTCCCTGCTTTACTTTTGTATTGGCCCCTAGCCAGCCCTCTAAGGCTTGGCTTTGAATAATTTAGAAGATAGTCCTTAGCTTTCTGCCACACAAACCTGAATCTTGCAAACGAGATGAGTTCCAGGGTTGAGTTAGTTGTTTCTGCCATGTGATTAAGCCATGTCTTCTGAATTCAGTGGACCTCTGTCCCAGAATGGATAGACCTACAATTCTAGGTGGTCATTCTGGAGAGCTCCCAGGGCCACAGGAAATGCAGGGCTGAGGGATATGGATCCAAAGCACCAAAGGTGGATTGCATAACACCTTTGCACAAACCTCTGAACCCAGGGAGCTTACATCTCCATCCCTGCACACTGAGTCAACACCACTTTTCTTAGTGAGGCTGATCCTCACCCTGCTCCTCAAGGGCAGAGGATAGTAGACTCGGGCAAGCACTCAGCAATGACTTGCAAGGTCAGTAGGGGCTGACACACCAGTTGACATAGCTGTAGCTGTCCTCCAGTGTAGCCCCAGAAACTGTGTGGCCAACAGAGGGCAGAAAGTGGGAGGAACCTGTGAACACCTGTAGATGTCCGCATGTGCGTATCACATATCTTGTTTCCTTTCCAGCATCAGTGATCCCTTCATTTTCAACATGTGCAGCAAAGACAGGTCCTCTGAGCAATACTACTGCCAGCGCCATGCCTATAGTGACATCAGGGAGCTCCGGCAGGCCCGCTTCCTCCTGCAGGTATGCTGAGGGGCTCTGACCCGCCTAGAAGACCAGGAGGTGAGCTGTTTCTCATGAGACAGGTGATCTAGGCATCAGAGACGCCTCTTTGTGACCCCTCTTGGCACCCGTGCACAGCCCAGAACCCCTGGGGAGATATATGAATTCCCTGGGCATAGTTCAGTTCTCAGCTAACTTGGAGCTCTGGCTGCTGCTGTTACAGTCTTACCAGCCAGGCCATTGGGTACTGGGCCATTCTTGCTCACAGGGTCATTAAAGATTCAGCATCTTTGCTTTGTTTTCCCAGTGATATGCTCAAGAGCTATGTTCAATAGTTGGGAATTTGAGGCAGGGCAGATCCCTTATATCGCAAAGAGCTGGTGACTCAGAGTCCAGGGCTGCCTACCATGGCCATGTGTCACTGGTCTCCTCCCCTCAGCACTTGTCTAGCTCTGAGTTCCTTGTCATCTCCCAAGCCAAGTGATTTAGGGACCTAATGACTGTCCTTTCAGTGCCTCCCCACTGCCTTCAGGGGCTTCCTCAAGGACTAAACAGACAGAGGTTCCTTTGGGAGAATGAGTTCAGCCGTAATTCCCACACCACTTCATGTGTAGGGCATTCTGTTTAGGAGCATCACCTGCAGCGTTGGTAGAAGGGTGGGCTCTGAGTCCCTGTGGCCATGACCTCAACGTATCTCCATCAGCCCCACCTCAGCAAGAACAAGACTGTTCCCCATTCCCAGGCCCTCAGGGAGACTTCAGAACATGGGAGACAAGGGGCCCCTTAGGAGGAGAGGAGAAGCGTTTGTCATTCATCACCTGTGCAGGTTCTGGGATAGTGCCAAGGATGGTAAGGGACAGTATTTGAAGTGTATGAACTCCTGGTGTTTGTAGCTTTATTTGGGGTGTGTGGAGCACTTTTTACTCATCGTGTGAGCCTCCTTCAGGAACCAAACCCCCCAATTATTCTTCAGGACTGAAGTTCATGGAGACCTTTTGAGGGAGTAAATTCTAGAAAGTTCCATCTACCCCGCTGACCAGAGTCTAGGACTCTGATGAGTCCTTTTCCTCTCTTGATGCTACTTTTGCATGCAGAGTTTGCTTCTTATTTCTCCTGACCTTCTTGAGCTCTTTTGCAAGGTTGGGAGGAAACCAAGGGGGCAGAGTAGGGAAGAGGAAGTCTCCACCAGAAAGAGTCCAGGCTGAGCCTAGGTTTTGTTCCCACCGTGGCTCCCTGGTCACTTCTTCAGGCCTCCTCACCCTCTGGTCACAGGAGTCCACACTTTGTCTTTTCCCCATTGTACATACAGCACCGAGCACTTGTCAGGCACATGGTAGGTACTCTGCCTTTTCCTGTGTTTCTGTGTATAGTGAGTGAGTGTCTTCTTCTTCAGGACATAGCCATTGCTTCTAGATGGTGGTGGAAGTCAGGTGGGAGGGCACATCCATCACCGAAGGGGCAGGGTGGTTGAATGGAGAGCTTTGATTGTTCAGCATGGTTTCTCCCAGGAAAGTCAGAACCTATCATTCACAGGACCTGGGGTAGAGGGTCCTAGAGCCTGCAGGGATGGGACTCCATTCTCTGTCTTCTCATTATTTGTGCTTTTCTTGGTAGAGAAAGATATCCCACACTCACATGTGTCCATAGAGTAGGGCTTGGTGCTGCCTATATAAATATCTCTCACGCTGGGATGACATAAGGGCCCTGGGGCTCAGAGAACTCACTGGCCACAGGAGAAGGCAGAGCATGCTTGCTGCTGAATGCAGTACCCCAGCTTCGAGTATTGGCCCTAGGTATACAGACCTCAATCTCCCTAGCCCTCCCTCCAGTTCTGGGAATTTTCCTTCTCTGATGCCTGTCCTCCCTGAGGCACATCCCACATCTGGAATTTCAGTGTCCCTTATATTCCAAGTCTGTTATTTACATAGCTTGAACTAGAAGAGAGGGGGAGAGAGGAGGAGAAAGGAAAGGAAATAAAACAGGAAAGAAAATCATATGGATTTTATTCAAGTGTTAACAACATTCTCTTATTAACAGCCTTCCTTTGTCCATGTGGTGACATCAGGATGGCTGAACATCATGGGCACAAGAGTCACCATTCTGTTATGTCTACAGATGAGCGTACAGTGGTGCTCAGATGCACAGTCAGCCTCACTCCATAGCTGCTGGGGGTTTGTGATTGAGGTGACCCCTAGTTCAGGAAACCAAGCCCCATGAGCTGGAAGTGTCTTAAGTGTACAACTGAGCATGTGTTCCTTTTGTCTGTTTTTTACTCATCCTAAGAGTAAGGCCTTTGCTTCCTGGGTCATCCAAAGCAGAGGACCACACCCCCTGCTTTTCCATCCATCCCACAGAGCCCCATTCATCCATCATGAAGGTTTTCACATCTAGAAGGAGGTCTGCACTAAGCAGGGGGTTTGCCACAGAGACCCACATGGCCCAGGGGCATCTCTGTTCCAGGAGGCATCAGGCATAAACAGATTTCTCTCTATAGGATATTGCCCTGGAGATCTTTTTCCAAAATGGATATTCCAAGCTCCTCGTCTTCTACAACAGTGATCGGAGTAAAGCCTTCAAAAGGTAAGGGGCTGAAAATACATGCTTCAAAGAAACTGATCCTAAATCCAGAGCAGAGAAAAATTGCTCAGCTCTGTTCTCAGGAGAAGCATTTCCAACCCATAGCAAGCAGGATTTAGGTGAGGCACAAGGAAGAACGTCCTGATCCTGGGACAAAGTACAAACAAAATACAGAGGAGCCCCGTTTTCATGGACTGAAGTGGTTCAGGATGGTAGTGACTAAAGGGAGAAAAAATCATGCTGACACAAAAGAAACCGGCTGTTCCATGGGCCTTCCAGAATATATTGGCTGTGTTTTCTATTTCCAAGTCATGTTTTTGGCTTAATCTTTTGTTTTTGATCCCAATTGCCAATTTTAGTCACTCCAAATTCGTATTTCATTGGAAAGAATTCCAAACAACTGATTTCCCACTTGTACAGTGAACATCTTTTTTTCTTAAAGAGAGAAGCCTGCTGTTTTAATTCAGCTCTTTTTTCTCCAACTATATGACACGATCTAAGAGATGTGAACCTGAGTCTGAATTCTTAGGACTTGCACTATTTATTTCTGTTGTTATTGAAGTTATAGATAAATGGACAGGTTCACAGAGAAACTAGACAGGTCAGAGAGGAGGCAGGGTCCCTGTCACAGGCAGAGACGGAGGAGGAGCAGCAGGGTGCCAGCTTAGGCTGCAGGTTTGGAGGTAGCACTGACCCTCCCACTTGGGTAGCTTCCACTGTTGCCTTCCTGGTACCCTGGAAGGTAAGTGACCCCAGGCCAGTTTTGACATCCAGGGGAAGGACAGGAGTACAGGAAAGCAGGTGTACAGGGGCTATATCCCCAAGGGTGCCCTGTTTTTCCTGGGCTGCCTCTTACAACAGTCTATACTATCTATATTGTCCAAAGGCCAAGCAGATAGACATGCAATGCTCATAACTCATTTCTCCCTATGGCTTCAGGATATGAAAAAAAGTTTCTTGAAGGTTTTAAACATATACAGTGAGGTGATCTCCTTTCTGCTACTCTGATGGTATATTTTTTAATATTGTATTTTATGTGTATGATTGTATTGCCTACATGTGTGTAAGTGAACCCGTGATATGCAATGCCCACGGAGTCAGAAGAGGGTGTTTGATTCCCCTGGAACTGGAGTTATGGATGGTTGTTAGTTGCCATGTCCGTGCTGGAAATTGATTCCTGGTCCTCTGCAAGAGCAGTCAGTGCTCTTAACTTCTGAGTCATCTCTCCAGCCCCCTGATGGTATATTTGAGACAATCAGTTTATAAGGAAAAGGTTTGTCTGGATAGCATGTTGGGGGTCCTGGTCCTTGATTAGTTGGGCTCATTGCCTTGGGCCTGTCGTCAAGCAGCATATCATGGTACCACCATGGCAAAACCATTTCCTCATGGCAGGGAAGCAAATGGGAGCAAAAGGAGATGGCTGGGATCCTATAACCTTATAACTCCCTCTAAGAATAGGCCCCCAATAGTCTGAAGGTCTCCGTTTTGTCTCATCTCCTAAAGTCCCACTACCTCCCCATGGCACACCCTGGGGACTGAGTCTTAAAATGAGGTCATTGAGGAGACAAACTTTAGCTCAGAGCTCAGATTGAGAATGTAAGCTCTAATCACACTGACTGTGTGCAAGGAGACTTAAATTAAGATCTTTTAGTCTCATGATGATACACTGGATTAGACAAAAGTAGTTATGGATATGTCAGGTCCCTGACTCTGAGGAGGAACTTTGAACACCTTGCTTTAGTAACTCAGTTTTTGCCATTGTTGTTATCAGTGGGCCTAGAATGTGTAATACCAGAGGCTGCCAGAGGGGTGCCTCAGAGGCCTGAGGCCTGGTGGGCATGTCCACAGTGCAGGATGGGATGAGGGATACAGATGACGTAGAGGAACAAGTTCAATTCTGGAACTGTTTCTGCTGGTGGTGGGAGGACTGTGGCTCTGCTGACAAAATTATTTTCTTTTGGTTTAGCTTTTGCTCTTTCCAACCCAGCTTGAAGGGGAAAGGTGCCACAGAAGACCCCTTCAATCTAAGGTAATGTTGGGGCAGGGGGCTGGCTTTGTATTCATGCTGCTGCTGCTGAAAGGATTTGTCCATTTGTTCCTCTGTCTCTCTCCCATCTCCACATATCCTTCATCCCACTCCTGAAGTCTCTTCTTTCAATTTAATCTCTATGAACAGGCCTAGAGTCCCTCTACTCAGCTCTGTGACATATTCACACCCAAATGGCAAGTATCTCCTACTTGTGGTAGCCGGGCATCTCATAGAAAGGTTGACCCTCAGGAGAGGGTATATAAGCCAGTCACGTGTGTCTTTTTAGCAGAAAAAGATTCTGAATGTTCCAAAGCTAAGTGCTCCAAATCAGTGCAGGTTGAGCATCCTTATTCAGAAAAGCCAAACATTCCAAAACTGGAAACTGATCACTAAAAGGATGGTACAAATATGATCCTGCGTGACACATGGTGACGGTCCAAAAACATGAGCACTAGAAGCATTATCTAAAGTTATCTTCATGCATTGTATACAGGGTATATATGAAATGACAATTGAACTTGGCAACATGGAACTCACACTGGGCGTCAACAGACCAATATGAATTTCTTGGTGAGACTTGGGTCCATTCCCAAAACACCTCATTATGCATATGCAAATATTCAAAACTGCAAAAATGTCTGAACTCTGAAACATTGCTTGTTCTAAGCATTTTGGATAAATGATATTCAGCATTAACATGTGGTGTGTGAATCAGATGCAGTTTTCAAACTTATAATGTGGGTCATCTTATTAGGGAATGTCATGTTTACTGCCCTTACACAGGGTCCCTTCTGCAGGGGCCGAGCTCCTTGGAAGGCCAATCTAGGATGAGCAGATGTTTCTGTTTCCAGTGAAAATGAGACTAGGAAGAAGGTGGTGTACTGGTTTTATCCAGAAGTGTTGGGGTGGGGATTGGGGTAGGAGGGCTGCCCCAAGAATGATACTCAAAATACTTGTAATAAATATGAATGGTCACACCAAACCAAAATGTTTATTGAATAGTGAATTGTTTAGTGATACATGCTGTCTGATATTTAACAAAGTGGTAAACAAAACAGCCCCAGACTCCCTTGTCCTCACTGAGTTTATTATATTCTCAGGAGGAGGACAGACAAAGCCTTTGACATGAGTGAACTGGGGAACATTTGGAGTAAGAAGTCAGAAACAAAGTGGGTGGAGATGGTAAGGGGAGCTTTTATTTAGAAAAGAGCTCTCAAATTAAGACTTGTATGGTGATTTGAAGGAGAATGTCTCCCACAACATCCAAGTATTTCAACACTTTGTCCCCAGTTGATGATGCTGTTTTGGAAGGTTTCAGGAAGTGTGGCCTTGCTGGAGGAAGCATGTCACTGGGGGTGGGTTTGAGAGTTCTTAAGCCTTGTCAGATTGCTGGTCACACTCTGCTTCCTGTGCCTGTGTGAAGATGTGCTCACTAGGCTTTCTGCTCTGGCCACATCTGCCACCTTACCTCCACTGCCATGACTCTAGACTAACTCTCTGAACCGTTAGCCAAATAATCTCTTCCTTCTATAAGTTGCCTTGGTCACAGTGTTTTATCACAGCAACAGAAAAGTAACTAATACAACTTAATCAACAGAAAATGGTTATGCAGATGACCAGGAGAGCATTTCAGGCAGGGGAAGGGGCAGAGGAGAAACTCCTAGGGGAACTTGGCTAGCCTGAAAAATGCTGCTGTATGTGAGGTTCAAGGAGCTACTGGAAGCTTATAGAGATGGCGTTTGTGCAGTCCAAGGGTGGGGCAACTCTTGGTGATGGTGTTAGTTTTCATATGAATAAATGAGGACCCTGACTTAACTTTGAAAAGAATCACCTGACTTCTGTGCCAAAAATAGATCACAGTAGGTCAAGGGAAAAAGTAGGAACGTTTTAGGACACTGCAGTGACCCAGGAGAGTGATGGTGGTGGTGGGTCAGAGAGATGAGGAATGGGGTGATGTGAAATACCAGATAGTGGACATACTTTGAAGATACAGCTTGATGCAAGGCAAGTGTGAGGTATGTACGTGTGAGAGAGAAGATGCAATAACCAAGGTTTTAGTCCTGAGTAGCTGGGAAAGCAAAATGTCAGAAGAAGTTGTGATGAGGATATGCTGGGATTGGGGTATGTGAATTTAGAGACATCTGTCACTCTGGTGGGATCTGGGGGGCGTGGGATATTATGTAGACCATCAGATATATGAACTTGGACTTAAGGAAGAGGTCCTGATAAGATGAAATTTGGAGTGGTGTTTCAGACCAGGAGAGTAGACAAGATCAGCGGGAAAGTGCATGTGTGTGGAAAAGAGAGAGCTATGTCTTGGACAGTTGGGTTGCAAAGGAGAAGAGCCAGCAAGAGATGGGGAGGAAGAGGAGGCAGAGAGCCAGCCTAGGTTACAGGTACAAGGCAGCTTCTAGAAGCCAGGCAGAGCACTTCAAAGTAGGAGTGATTAAAGATTCTCAATAGGCCAAGCTGAATAAGAACTGATGTGACCATTGGACTTGGCAATATGGAGTCACTGATGGTTTCAGTAGATGGATGGCAGAGGCGGCTTGCAGAAGTAGGATGCCAGCCCCTTAGCTAAGAGTGAAGTCCAGGGTGAGTCAGGACACAGTGTAGGAGGCTGCACTGCTGTGGCACAATGGGATGGGGTGGCTGTTTACCAACTTAGTAATGGACTTAGTTCAATAGTTCAATGGAAACCAGAATGTGCCTGGTGGTGGCTGAATATCACCCCTGGGATATGTTGCATTTGTCACCTTGTTGTCCACACCTGGAGTTCTCAGGCTGCCTCAGTGAAAGCTGAAAAAGAGGTCTCTTCACTTGTCATGCCTGAAGAACAAAAATGTCCCTAGCTCCAGGCATGACTGACTCCTCAGGCTCATGTAAGTCTGTAGGAAGCTATGATTGCTCCCCAAGCAAGGACTTCTCTTGGCCCTGCTCTTTCCTGGCAGTCTTTCTGAGAACACTGGCATTGATGCCCCCAGGAACTACCAACTGATAGTCGCACCTGGGAAATTCACCTCACACCACACAGCCTGTATCCAGGTTTGTTTGACAAAATTTCCACCATTTGATTTTCATTTTCTTGTTAGGCTATATGATCATCTGAGAACTTATCAAGTGATTTCATTGGCCAGATGGGGGTAACATGCCCACCAAGGTCCGGGGGTGAGGTCAGTTGCGTCCAACAACATAAGCCAAACTGTGGTGAGTGTGGTTCCCTAAGAGAACTGAAGTTCTGCTATCACGAGGGACAGTGCCAGGGGGTCATAATGGCAGATGGCATCCACACTCCATGTGGAGGGGACTCCTGGGAGCTGCAGGACTCATGAACTGCATTCCAGAACGAGTGACACCGATTGTGATATAGGTGACTTTGCTGAACCCTGGATGTCCTTAAAGCTCAAGCTCTGAGAAATACCTTATACGAACCACTTGAGTATCCTCTAGCTGTCTACCCATCCCTAGGCACTTGTCCTCAGACTCTTAGGAAGGGCTTTGGCCCAGTTTCTAACCCAGTTAGAGGAGGCAGACAGAGAAGAGACAGAAGGAAGGATGTAGAAGAGAAGCTGGCTGTGCCCAAGTGTGGGGGCATGTCAGGTGATAAAATAACAATTCTCCGTGATGGATCAAATGTTTGGAAACTCTCCCTCACTCATCCATAGGTTGATAATGACTCTGTGCACCACCCTACATGTATAGAGAAGCTGGGTTTTAGGTCCACTGTGATGATTTTTTTTCCTGTGTGACAAGGTCTATTTGGGTCATTCTGTGTCATGTCTGACACAGTTCAGTGTGACATAAGTATGGAGGACTGTGTGGAAATCTTCTGTGGTCTGCTGGGAATCTCTGTGGTGCTCAAGCACTGACAGTGAAATTCATTTTCTAACACATCATTCTGCCATTGAGAGATTTAAGTCTATTATTTCTTTTATAAATTGTCTTTGAAAATGAATACAAGACAATGAATTTAGAATGTCAACCATAAAAAAAGCAATGAAATTCTTAGAATATAATTATATTCTATGATCAGTTCCATTCCTAAGGGCACAGTCCTAGCAGCCTGGAGCTTAACATCAATCCATCCCTCTGGGTCTAGAGAACAATAGTTGGAACCCGAGGTGGACCAAACCTGGCCACAAACTCAAAATGGTTGTGACAACCACTGCTTCAGCATTTAGGAGGATCTTATACATTCCTGCAGTACCATGCAGTTGGGGGACAGATGTGAAGGCCCAGGAATGTGGGAACAGCCTTCTGCTTCAAGGTTCCATTCACCCCAGCTACTACCTTGCTCATTCGCCTCCAGAAAGTCTGGGACATAGACACTGAAGCCATGCATTTTCTTTTTCTTTTGGCAATTTTTTTAGTCTCTGGAAGGATAAGACCAACAATGGGTACTTTTAGATGAGTCCAGTAAGCTGAAGGGAAGGTGTTCTTTTACTTGGAATGCCTTAACTCTGTGGCAGGGTTGAGGAATTTCAGTTCTGGGCTGACTGGATATGCTAGAATCTCACTGTAACTCTGTCATAGTGACTCAAATTTACATTGGGGAGATGTACAAAGATGGGTTTATCGAATCTAGGCTATGAGACTTTTTTGAAGTTTTGTTTTAAAAATAACTATAGATTCACAATTAACTACAAAGAGTAGGGTTTCTACACACACTTCACTTAGTACATACCCTTCATAGGAGCAGGTTGTTCAACCATTGGATCATATAATTTTTAAACCATATAATTTTTAAACACGTATATTCATGGGTCTCTGTGATTTTTGTCATGTGTGCAGATTCATGGATGCACTACTCTAATCACCATGCATAATCATTCCATCACCACCATAATCCCCATGTATTGTGATTCCATTGCTACAAAGATAGCTCTTACACCACCACTTCAGGATGAGGGCCACCTCTGCAACTCCTAATCATTCTAAAGTCCTGGAAACCACTGATCTGCCTTTTATCTCTGTTGCTTCATCACTTGGAATGTTCCATAAATATAACCACAGAGTGCACAATATTTGGAGATTTCCCCTTTAAAAGCTGGGATGGGGTATAATAATACTACGGAGATATTTCCAAGTTGTTGCATGTACAAATAGTATATTTTTTATTGCTGAGTAGTAATCCATGATGTGCATATACCAGAGTTTGCTCAATGACTTATGCTTTGAAAGATTATTTGGTTGTTCCCAGTTTGAACCCACTACAAATAAAATTGACCATTTACATTTAATGTAATTGTCAAAATAATGGAACTTGAATCTACCCTTTTCTTTTTTAAGTGTCTGGGTTGTCCCTGTTGCTCATTTCTATTTTTTTTCTGCCTTTCTCTGAACAGCTAAGGGAATGGTTAAATTCCTACTTTGACTATCTATAATATATTGGAGTGTATTTCTCTCTGTGTATTTTGTACACATTTTAGCTGCTTGAGGTATCCCACACACATGCAACTTGTCACTGGTGCTAGGTTACTGGTGCTAGGACTGTTCTACTTTGAGAAAAATGTAGAGACTGTAAGACTGCTCAGTCTTAGGTCAACTTTTAAGTCTTTAATTGTCTATTAATATATATCTATACTTTTCTTAATGTTTCAGAAAATCACATGAAATCTCTTTCCAGGGCATTTTTATGCACAAGTAGCCTAGAGCAAAGGGAAACAAGGTAAAATTTATAAAGCACTTCAGTGGTCTGGGTAGCACCGGAGAGCCTGTCTTCCAGAATGTTCCCTGTACCATTCTGTCTTCTAACTTAGGGCTTTTCCTCTTCAGAGTCGTTTATTCCTGTTAGCTGATTGGTCTTCATGTTTTTGCCATAAGCTACTCTAGGAGGATGGTGAGCGGAACCTGAGGAATGGAGACACAATAGGCTGAGGCAACTGCTCCAGGACACCAGGCCAAACACACGTCACATCAGGGTCACAATGAGGTCACTCCAGAGTCACCCAGGCCATATCTAACTCTCAGAGACAGAATGAGGTCACCGTGGATAGTTTTTGTTCTATTTGAGGAAAGAGAAACCCTATGGCCAAGTATCAAGTATTTCTAGGTTTAATGAAACATCCAGGCAATAAAAATGACAGGAAGGAGCATCATTATTAGATAAATGCAGAAGATGGCTACCATCTGCTCTGTCCCCCGAGCTGTGGCTCTGTCCAGCGACCAGCATTTCTTAGCTAAAAATGGGTCTAACTAGAGTGTATGCAGGACAAGTCGGAGCCCTCTGCCTGCAAGGTTCTCAATTCTGGGAAAGCCCAGTGTGCTTAAACCCCTTCCTAAGACACTAAAAAGAAGGGAGGGGGAGCATAAGAAAGCACCTCCTGCGAGAATGGAAAGGAAATGTCATCATTTTGTATGCTAGCCAATCAGAAGGCAGCGAATTCAGGGAATGATTTTTGAGGCCCATTGAGGAGTGTGGTGGAATGGGGCAGGGGGGTAGGACAGAGAGAGCCATGGGAGGAATCCTCGGTCCAGATCCAGATCCTTCCTGGCACAGGCAGGGGCTGGAGCAGTAATGTTTTTCTTAACTTCTCTTTGCTGACTTTTTTTGTTGGTGGTGTGTTTGTTGTTGTTGTTGTTGTTGTTGTTGCTTTCCTTTTTCAGACAGGGTCTCCCTATAACCCCAGCTGGCCCGGGACTCACTATGTAGACTAGGCTGGCCTCAATCTCAAAGAGATCCACCTGCCTTATGTCTGGCTTTTGCTGACTTTTTGAATGCCTAGAAAGGAATACCAATTCTCTAGAAAAAAGTATTCCTTTGAGGGGGGCAACTGAAATGGGTAGTCTTCACAGATTGGCTGCTGTTATGTCTAGATCCTGGCCCTGTGTGGATTCTGTACTACTGAGACACAAATGAGAGTCCTGTACCACCACATGCTATTCCTGTGTGGTCTGCCAGATCCTGTTGCCAGAGAGAACAGCCTAAAGGCTTAACTGTTAGTCTGAAAGCATGCTTGCCCTAAGGCAGTAAGAGAAAGTTATATTACATATACATATATTTATGTATATATGCAAGCAGATATACAGAAAACAGAATACACACACAAACACACATAAACAGCAAAATGAATTTGCAGTTTTGGTCAAAAATGGGAAAAGAAAAATTCTGCATCTCATTTTCACATAGCAATGTTAGGATTTGTAGAAAAGAGAAAACAGCCAGCTTGGTGGTGCATGCTTTTAATCCCAGCGCTCAGGAGACAGAGGCAGGTGGATCTCTGGGAGTTTGAGGCCAGCCAGGGCTATGTAATGAGTTCCAGGCCAGCTGGGGCTACAGGAAGACCATCTCAAAAGAAAGAAAGGAAGAAAAGCAAGAAAGGGAGGAGACAAAAGCAAGGAAATATGCAAACTTAGTTGTAGGTCCCAGTTAGCAGGGCTGGGAGACTCTTTCCCCTAAGACGAGGGCCCTTTGAGTGGCCATTCCCACTCCTGATGTGTTTCCTGCGAGGATCCTCCTGCCTGGGACCCCAGTACAGACATGATTTCGGCCTCTTCTTCAGACTAGTTTCGAGTAAGTCATCTGGAACATTAAAGAGAAAGATGTAGAGGGCAGTATCGATGCTGGGGAGGATGCGGTGAGCAGGTTCTGTGATATGTATGACAGGTGGGCATGAGTGTGTATAACCTACTTTGTAACGTCTCAACACTATTTAAAACAATACCCTTTATTTAATACACCATTTCCAGTGGTGTGGGACTGCCAAAAAATAATTCAAAACATGTTAAAATGTGGTAGTCATCCAACTTCTCATCACAAAACTATTTGCATTAGTGCAAAATTGGAAACAATTTAATACCCACAGGAACATATAGTTATGCATATTATGATTACAGCTGTCTTGCAGATGTTTAAAATGTTGGCCATGAAGACCATGTGACAACATGGGTTTCAAAACAGGCTAGAAATGACATGAGAACTATAATTTTAGCCACGTACAAACACACAGAAAAATAAATAGTAAGGGAACTTGTCCGTGTTATAGTTGGCCTGCATTACAAAATGCTGAAGTCTTTAAGAAACTCTAAAACTAGACTGTTGTTTGGTTACTTTTGTGATAGAAAACACTTAACAAAGGAGGAGAAAACCTAAAATACTAAATTTGAATCTAGAACTTATGAGGCTTTAGAAGCATGAAGGATGTTGCAAGCTAAGGAAAAGGAGCCTTGAGGGGTGAGGAGATGAAGGTACTGTCTGCTGTGGTCAAATTCCCCTGCACTGAGGCCTCCCGTGCTGTGCACTGACCACCACACAGAGCCTGCCTCCCGCTCAGTGAAGCCAGGGGAAAAGCCTTCCAGAGATGTCTTCCTCTGTTCTTTTCCCCCAGGCTGTGTGAAGCTGTGAGTGAACAGACACAGCAGGCCAGGGAAGGCTTACCGTGACACAAACATTGTCTTTACCATTGCCTTAAGCCTGACGAGTCGGTGTGACTCCTGACACTGCCTGTGGCAGCGTTTCTTCTGAACACTGGGCTCTAGTTCTCAGAGGGAACTGAAGTCCTCTGTGTGCCTCCTACTGCCTGTTTCAGAAGCCCATCAGCTCTTGGAGTCAGGAATGCAGTCATTCCCTCTTCCCAGACCAGGGAACCAAAGCCAAGTAAATAGCCCCAAGGAGGTGACAAGAGAGGCAGAGCTGTCCTGAGCCTACATCTGTCCAGTTCTAGAGTCTTTGATTTTCTCAATGCTAGGCCAGCCTTGCACACTCAAATGCCCAACAGTAACTCTCTAAGAATAAGTGTCTTGTGGATGTTGAAATCGTGGTGATAAAGGCCCTGACCCCTAAATGCCTCAGTCTTAATGTTCCACCCCATCTCCATTCAGATGGTCTCTCTTCAGGCTTGTACAATAACAGCCAAGCTTTTTCCATTGCACACAGTCCCTTGTACCTAGTACGGTGACCGCATTTTCTCCCCAGCTCCTTAAGGGTCTCAAAAAGCACTGGGTACATTCACAGCCAAGCGAGGGCCTTCAGGTTGAGTCTAGAAAGTTCCTAGTGCCTACTGTACAAATGCAGATGGGAGGCAAAAGTGGTGCATCTTCCAGGAGCTTTCTGCCAGCACTTAATAATACTACCTGTCTGTTCTTGAGCCATCCTCTCTCCTACCAACCCATGCTCTGAGACTGTTGACCTTGGGATCCAAACATTTCCCATGGAATGAGCTCCACATTTGGAAGCTGGCAGTGTGTCCCCAAAATGCCAGCAACAGTAGGGTATGCTACCAGTATCAGCCCCTAGGCCATGGTGGCACCAAGAGAGTTTCAGGGCAGAAGTGAAATGGATGGATGGATGGATAGATGGATGGATGGATGATAGATAGATGATAGAAGATAGATAGATGATAGAAGATAGAGAGCCTTTTCCCGACTCCCTGCGTCTGTATGTGTGGGTGCATGCACGTAGGGAAGAAAAAGTACGTGGAGTGGCAAGAAAGCAAAAGCTTTCAGTCAACCAAACCACAGGCCAAGGAGGTAGGGAATGGTGTTTTATGGGTTTGGATAGAAAGGCTCCTGTGGTAACAAAAGAGCCCTCTCCTCTGGATGCATGCAGCCCACTGCTTCCTCCTCCCACCTTTCCTCCTCCTGTCTTGGGGGTCAGGGTCCCAGGTCACCTCCAGTCTTCCTGGGTGTCCTTGGCTGTGGAGTTGGGTGAGACCAAATTGGAAAAGATGGCTTTTCTGGGTGTTAGAGAGGCCATGCTCTTGATTTTGTTCAGCTTGTCCCTGGCCTGTTGGCATTTTTGCAGACAATGCCCACACAGGTCCTTCTCCTCCACCAGGTAGAGGTTTTCCAGCCTCTTAATGGAATCTACGAGCATGTTGGATTCATCTGACTTTGGAAAGGGGTTCCTCTTTATGTTGAGTTTCTTCAGTTTGGGGAGTTTGGAGATGCTGCCAGGGATGCTGTTCAGCAGGTTGTCGTGCAGTCCTATCTCGTGCAGCTCCTTCAGTGCTCCCAGCGTGGTGGGCACACTGTCCAGGTGGTTCAGACCCAGGTTCACTGTACGGATATTCTTGAGCTGGTTCAGCTCCACAGGCAGCCCATTGGTGGTCAGTCTGTTGTTGCTGACGTTGAGGTAGAGCAGGGAGGTCATCTGGCCAATGGACTTGGGGATCTTGTCGATGTAATTGCTATGCAGGTCAAGCCATCGAAGGTTCTGGAACTTGGAGATGGAGTCAGGGAGTTTCCTGATTAGATTCCGGCTAAGATCGAGCTCATCTACGTCATTGAGACGCAGAATACACTTGGGAAATGTGGTGAGTCCCATCTTACTCAGGTCAAGGCGTTTTTTCCCATCAAATGTGATTTTGATGCAATTCTTGGCCATACTGAGGGTGATCTTCTTGCCCTTGGGTCCTTTCCCACCCTTTGCCATGTTCTCTTAGTAGGGAAGGGTGTTTGAAGAATGTTTTTCTGATGGGATGGTGATAGGTTTGAGGAAGAAGCCACATGAAGCTGCTAGAGGTAGGTGGTGATAAAGATAGGGAAAAAACAAATCTAGTTAGGAAGGACAGAGTCCTGGGCTTCCCATATCACGATGATAAAGAGAAGGAAACAGGCTATCAGAGAGGAGCCAGGGCATCGCGGAAGCAACCCACCTCACAGGCCTTCAACAAATGGTACCCTCTTCAGATTTCAGTTCCTCAGATGTTAGAAGTACAGGGTTGGGTTGAAGGATGTGCAGTGCTTCTCTCCCTGGCTATTATCCTAAGCTTTGACATAACCCTCTGGTCCCAGGTGTGTGTGTGTGTGTGTGTGTGTGTGTGTGTGTGTCTGTGTCTGTGTGTGTGTGTGTTTGTGTGTGTGTATGTGTGTGTGTGTGTTTCTTGGATATGTGCTCTTTCTCAGACTCCCACATAAATCTAGAGTCTGCTTAGCACTGTTAAAGGACTGTCCTAAGGAGGGGCTGTTGCTGTCAAAGGCAAAATAAGTCTGAATAGGAAAGAATAAAGTGAGCGTTAAGAACGCCACATCAGCCAGGCGCAGTGGCACACTGCATACCTTTAATCCTAGCACTTACGAGGTAGAGGCAGGCAGATTTCTGTGAGATGGAGGCCAGCCTGATCTACATAGTGAGTCCCAGGCCAGCTGGGGCTACAAGGAAACCCTGTCTCAAAAACACAAAACAAGAACGTCTTATATCCCTTTTCATATTTTGGGCCCAGAAGAGCTAGCAGGCCATGGTTACCATCACTACAGGGTGACAGAAACAGTACTGAGTTGGGGAATCAGGGCTTGTCTGTACACTATCGGAAATCGCCACTCCTCCCCCAGGGCACTGAGGCATCCAAGTGGCCTGGCAAAGCTTCTGTAGGATGCTTTCTATCTCACGACATAATTTTCTTCCAACTGTCCACCTCCTAACACCATCACATAGGGGTTAAGATTTCAAGATATAAATTTAAGGATGGGTAACAAACATTCAGTATGTTGTAAAGATTTAACACCACTTTTACCTGATCTCTTCCATAAAATAGAAGAAATAACCCCTAATTTATTTTCTGAGGCCAGAATTACCATTATACTAAAACTATAGAAAGACAAGGTAAGTAAAGCTCAGACCAGTATCTGTCAATATCACAGACACAAAAATCCTGCCCATGATGCTAGTGCATTGAACCCAGTAATATATAAAATGGATAATAAATGACAACCAAGTGAAAATGGAAGACTGAGTGAGTATTGAACATTAATCAATGCAAAGGTCTGTGTTAACAGACTTAAAAACTAGCTGCTGATATCAATAAATGTAGAGAAAACATTTAATAAATTTAGCATTCAGTCATGATGTATACAAATAAGCTCCTCCCTTAACTTGATAATAGGACATCACAGAATCTGTGCCTAACACTCTTGGTAAAGGACTGAATGCTTCCTAACCCTAGGTTTGAAAACAAGGCAAGGACTTCCATTGGATCTTTAGTATTATGCTGGAAGTTCTAGCCAGTGTGATAGAGCAAGAAAAATAAAAGGCATAGAATTAGAAAAGTATGAAATAAAACTCTTCCTATGCACAGATGACCTGACTCTGCACACAGAAAATCTCAGAATTTTTAGAACATACTTGGTGAGATCAGCATGATTTCAGGAATCGAGGTTAGCACACAAACCTTGCTGCATTGCTGAATATCCCGATTCCAATGGAAATTTCAGCAAGATTGTTTATATTGTGAGAATTTTTTATATTTTGTGTTCATATATATATAAATTCTCAAGTTTATGTTGAGAGAAAAAGGAACTAGAAATTAAAAAAAAATTGTAAAAGAAAAATAAAACAGGAGGATTTGTGCATGGTAATTTTAAAACGTGCCATGTAATTGTGGTATCAGTAGAGGAATACATTCATGGACTAACGGAAAAAAATATTGTCCAGAAACAGAGCTATCAAGGGTTAGCAGCATAGCCAATTGATTTTCATCAAAAGTGCAGTGGAGAAGCAAATGTTTCAACAAATGGTGTTGATTATTATACATATATAAAATAAATAAAATAAACCATTGGCAACGTAATGAAATTAACATTCACTCAAATTGGATCACGTATTTGAACATAAACTATAAAACGTTCAAAAGAAAATTGAGAAAACCTTTATGAACTGTAGATTGGCAAAAGTACATTTCACTAAAGATAATATTTAAAAAACTGGACTTGAAAAAAACATAAAACCTTGCTCTATGAAAATGCCATTAAGAATGAAAAGATAAGCTACAGAATAGAAGAACATGTTTGTAAACCACATAGGCAGTGCAGCACTGGTATCCAGAGTGCATAAAAATTATTAAATACAGCAACAAGAAAATATATACAAAGTTTTAATTGTGCAAAAGATGTTAGGATACATCTCACCATAAAAGTTATATTGCTGGCAAATAAGGACATCAAACCTTAACTGTCATTAGCCATTACAGAAATACAAATTATATCATAATAGGATTACTACGACACACGTATTAGACTGTCTATAATAAAACCAATAGTGCAAAGGTTGAGCAAGAGCCTGCAGCCAGTAGAGCACCTATACTGCTGATGAAGGTGCAGCGGGGCAGCCCCTGCAAACAGTTCAGACATTTCTTTCAAAATTAACCACATACGTATCACAGGATGTTTCATTTCCTCCAACAAATATTTACCCTGGGAAAAAAAATTTACTTTCACACAAAAGCTTATTCAATGTGCTTATCAGTGTTCCATTCATAGTTGCCCCAAACACGGAAGATGCGTTCTTCAGTGAATGGATTCCTTATACCGAAATATTGCTAAGTATAAAGAGGGTTGACATGCAGATTACTCTGACCTGACCACGATTCTTTGTATGTGTGAATTGAAATGTCCTGCATATCCCATAAACATGTATAGTTAGAATGTGTCAGTAAACGTAAAAATACAAGTTGGAGAGATTGCTTGGTGGTTAAGACCTCATGATGCTCTTACAGAGGACCCAAGTTCAGTTCTCAGCATCCACATCAGGTGACTGATCACATGTAACTCCATCTTCAGGGGGTCCAATGCCCTCTTCTGGCCTCCTGCACCAAATATTCACATACACCACATACAGACACACACACACATACATATACATACATACAGTTAAAAATAAAACATATAGTTAAATATGTTATATACTTTTGTACATATAGTTATATATACATACATACATATATATAGTTAAATACATATAGTTAAAAATAAAACAAGTCTTTTAAGTAAATACATTAAAATATCTGTAAATAAATATTTGTAAGAAGGAGAACACATTTCCTCGTATAGACAACTTAGGTGAATCCTGCGAGCATACTGGAAGAAGTCATTGCAGAAGTCTACATGATTAATGACTCCATTTACTATTTATGCAGGTACAGGAAGCAGATTCACAGGTGTAGGGACTAGGGACAGGGAGTTCTGGATTACTAGGAGGCAGTGTGAGTTTTTTGGGGATGGCGGAGCTGCCAAGACCAAGCCTTGGGGAGAGTTCCATGAATCTCCCTGTATTTTTAAAAATAATTTTTGATCGCTTCATTTTTATTTTATGCATATGAGTGTTTGCCTGCATGTATGTAAGTGCTTCATGTGCATTCAGTGCCCCCAGAGGCCAGAAGAGGGCATTGGATTCCCTGGAACTGGAGGTAGGATGGTTGTTAACTGCCATGTAAGTGATGGGAACTGAACCCAGGTCCTCTGCAAGAGCAGCCAGTGCTCTTAACTGCTGAGCCATCTCTCCAGCCCCTTTATCTTTATTTTTGAAGTCCAGCGACTTGCACTCCCAAAGGGGTGATGATACTATAGTTAAATTTTAAAATATATATTTTTAAAAAACAAACTTTGAAAATAGTTGTAACCCCATAGTTTTTTTCTGTCCCTTTCTTTATGCCTACTTTATCAGCCTAGGTTGGACATTCATGATGTTTTCATGCCCCCAACAGCCATGTTCTGCCCTTTAATGAGCACCCATTTGGGTAGCACCTGGGCTCACCTGGGAGCACTGGGAGCTAGGTGTACCTAACGGAAGAGGCATGCCAGAGAGAAATTGTTCTGTACTGGAGTTAGATCTTCACTAAGGAATGATGAATTCAGCTGGGTGTGGTGGTACACATCTTTAATCCCAGCACGTGAGAAGCAGAGGCAGGTGGATCTCTGTGAGATCCAGGTCTACACAGTTGTCTGCATAGTGTGTTTCAGGCCGGCTGGTGGTACAGAGACCCTGTCTCAAAAAAACTAAAAAGAAAAAAAAAATGAATGTAGCTTAAGCCCATGTACTAACCTGATAAGGAGCAGCAACACCTTCTCTCTATAGTAGAGTTCCAAGACATACCAAAGAAAATACAGGATTCCATGGTAAGCTCTAGGCCATTTGCTTCAAGTCCTGCATAGCTCTGTATTTTACTTGGCAACTGTGGCCCAGAGGCGTGAAAAAGCAGGAAATAGTATTTCCTTTGTCTGAAATCCTTGGTCCTTTGTGACCAATGTAAGCCAAGACCCTTTGTTATTTTCTCCTTAATTCATTTATTTCCCCCATTGATTAAATGTGTTGGGTACCTGCTGGTTATCGAGTCTCTGAACAACAGAGGTGAACCCTAAGCAGGCTCATCCCCCAAGTTTAAATAGCTGATATCTAGATTGTCCCTGATTCTGGCCACCAGCACTCCCTGTGTGCTCAAAGCTTGACTGCCATTCGGTTTTCTTCTATTTGAGATAAATTCAAGCATGGGTTAGAGGGCTCCTGGACAGGAAGGGACCTTCTAGTAGACTGGAGATCTAACCAGTCTAGCCCAGCTGAGCCTGCCCCCACAGCCCACCCATACTGTGAGAAGAAGCTCTCCCAGGTCTGATTAGTGGAGGCCAGGAAGCAAGGAGGAACTGGCTTTGGAGCATTGCTCC